TTAATTTATTTTATATTTGGTTTGGGATAAAACACTTTTACGATATTTAATTTATTTTAGATTTGGTTTGGAATTATTTATTTAAATTTTTGTTCCTTGATTATGTAATTAGTTTTGTGAGAAATTGATTTTATTAGAAATTACAGTAATAAATTAATAAATTAAAATTAAATTTCAGGTCGACCCCCCAACCCGAAATTTTCGGGTTCGTGTCAGGTATCCTGACCCGTTTCGGGTTGGCGGGTCAGGTTCGGGTCAGTGGGTTTTCTGTTATACCCGAGTCTCAACCCGACTCGTCAACCCGAATTCGACCCGATTGCCACCCCTATACCTATTTAAGTGATTTCAAGTAATTTTTCATATTCTCCATAAAAATTATGTCTATTATATTTATTTTTTATTTCCTTATTCACATCATAAGCACTTAATTATTTGTATTCACATATGTATATACTTTATAACGAGTGTACACACTTTACAACATTTTGTAAAATAATTTTTATGGATATGTATCTTCTCTGTAATAGGTAATCACATAACTCTAATAATTTGCAAAGCAAATTTCACTATATAATATATACATTTCAAACAAATATTATAACCAATTTGTGTATAATATCAGTATTTACATACTTTACAATCATATGTACAAACTTTATAACAATGTGTACATCCTTTATATCAACTTGTAACATAACAAATGAATGTATGTAAAATACACTTTTACATAGCGTAAGGTTCGACAGAGTTCTCAAAATCTATACATTGTTATTTATACCGTTTGTGTAGTTATTTAAGTTGGCCACATTGTTAAGTTGTTTTTATGCTTATGTTATTTTATTTATACACATCCTCATTTATTTTTTGAAACTCTGTATGGGATCTTTATTGTACAAGTTAACCATCTATATGTATGTTCTCTGTAAAAGGATAATGATATACCTCTTGTAATTTTCAAATCATGCTTCACTAGATAACACATTTATTACAATCAAATTACCTATAATATTAGCATTTACCTTGGACAGAGTTGACCATGCAGTGGATTTCAGATGGGCTGCTTACAAGTCTCAGCTATGCATTTGTTACTCGATGAATATCTATCTCAGTCATCCACAAGTGAAATGGACGTGTATTGTTGTTGCAACGGATCTTCACAATTATCTTGTGCACACCTCAGACTAGATGCCCGTTTTGATATGGTTTATTTAAGAGTTGGAAGAGAAGAAGACAAAGATTTATGTCTGTGTTATGCGAAGTAATTTGTTGAGAGGAGAAGAACATAAGGAGCTACAACGACAATGTATTGTGTTCAGAAAAAACCCACTACCGCCATTTTCTTCCCACCTCTTTTAAGTTGAAAGAGTTTTAAAGCCCGCCGGATCCTATCAAAAGTTGATTTTCAAATTTTGATTTTGAATTTTTCATACCCTTAACGGCAGCCATCATAGAGTTACAAGCCAAGTTTCTATTAAAGTTACAATACTCTACACTCATGTCCATTTTGTTCCCTATATTTTTGGCCATTGATGATGGGCCCATCACATCTTTGCCATGAAAAGTTCCTGAATGATTGCTTGGCAACCGTCCTGGCCCCTGGTCCCCTAAACCAATGCCCCTTTTCATGACTGTCAGTGGTGCCTAGTAACCAGGGCTCTGCCCATCCCATCTCTCAACAATATACTGGTAGCACTACCAGGCTTTGCAACGAGGGAGGGCAATGGGACGGGTATGGGGTGGGCGTGGCGGTGGGGGTGGGGGTGGGGGAAGAATTTTTCTCCCCTCATATTAAATAGGGTGGGCGGGAGAGGATACTTCAAGCCTATCCCTCGCCCCATCCCCCATTACCAATGTAAGGTTAAAAAATAAAAAATAAAACTAAAAAAAATAAAAAAAATAAAAAAAAATATTGTTTAATACACACATACATATACACGTTATAATTACATATCAATAATGTATGCATATATATTTATATATATATATTGTTTAATACACACATACATATACACATTATAATTACATATCAATAATGTATGCATATATATATATATATCATAATTTGTATGATAAAAATGATTATTTGGTTATTTTTAGTTTATTTCAAATTTTTTTACATATTGTAAGTTGTTTAAACAAATATAATGACAATATGTTTAGATTTGCTATAAAAGAAAAGAAAAGAATTAAAAATGATCAAAGTCATTTTTAACCTTGATTTTACATTGAATATTTAGCTAACAATCTAAAAGAATGATTGACAAAGTTGTTATTAATGTTAATGTTGTCACAGATTGGACTAAAATGGGATAAACTTGAAAGTTTAGGATATAAAGTGTCCAAAATCGAGAGTTCATAATAAAAAGTGTCCTAAATAAAAGTTTAAATTATAAAGTGAGAAAGTGGTATAAGTTTGAGAGTGCAAAGTGGAATTGCTTCTCGTTTTAACCAAAGTCTCAAGTTGCGCAAATCCAGAAAACAAAATCTCAAGCCATGCAATAGCAAATCAATAACAAATTATTCCATTTATCTTTGTTGCTTGCTTGAAAATAATTCTAAATACATCGCAAATTAAAGTATAAGTCAACACTTGGTGTTTCAAGTTGGCAAAAGAGAGGAGACTAATTAAAAAAAAGAGAAATAAGAGGAGGGGAAGAAGAAATAAGAATGAGTTGAAGAGTTCTTTGGGCAACGGAAAGACAAGGACAGGTACGAGGTGTTCAAATAATTGAGAAAAGAACGGAGTGGGAAGGAGTTGCCGAATTGACGGGAAAATTTTGAAGGAAAGCACGAGAGTCGCAAGAGTGTGGCTTTTGATGCAGCAAAATAGATGATTTCAAAGTAGGGGCAGATAAAAATACCAACTAACCCGAAAATCCAACATATTTGATCTGATTCAATCCAAAAATTAGGATACTTGATTTGTATTATTTAATCGGGTCAAAAGAAGATTGGGTATCTATTTATATGTGGGGTTGGTTAGGGTTATATAGTTAAAAATTTGCAGGTATTCGACCCGTCTCGCATATATATTTTTTATTTTTATACACGTATTATAAAATAATATTTTTAGAGTTAAATAAGCAATTCCATTGAACAAATTGCATTACAAATATAAAAGACTATAGTTTATTTACAAGATTCATTTGTAGAGGTAATGATCTTATATTTTTTAGAAAAGAGTTTCACTAATGTGAAATATATAATAAAAAAATGTGCTACTTATTTCAAATTTTTATTGATTTTGAATTCTTTTAATTTGTTCCTTTTTTCTTGCATTGTCTTCACATGTTTGTTTCTTGGTGTGAGACTTTTTTGAGAAAAATCTTTATTAAATTTTAGATGAATATGTAAAAATACAAAATTAAATTAGTATAAATCACTTCTAAAAAATTACATGATAAGCAGGGCGAGACGAGTATTCGCTGACCCGATTCTATCTCACCGAGTACCCAATATGCGGGACGGATAAGAGTAAAAAAATGAGGGTTATATAGTTAAAAATTTGTAGGTATTCGACCCGTCTCGCATATATATTTTTTATTTTTATACACATATTATAAAATAATATTTTTAGAGTTAAATAAGCAATTCCATTGAACAAATTGCATTACAAATATAAAAGACTATAGTTTATTTACAAGATTCATTTGTAGAGGTAATGATCTTATATTTTTTAGAAAAGAGTTTCACTAATGTGAAATATATACCTAAAAAATGTGCTACTTATTTCAAATTTTTATTGATTTTGAATTCTTTTAATTTTTTCCTTTTTTCTTGTATTGTCTTCGCATGTTTGTTTCTTGGTGGGGGACTTTTTTTGAGAAAAATCTTTATTAAAATTTAGATAAATATGTAAAAATACAAAATTAAATTAGTATAAATCACTTCTAAAAAAATTACATGATAAGCAGGGCGGGACGAGTATTCGTTAACTCGATCCTATCTCATCGAGTACCCAATATGCAGGACGGATAAGAGTCAGAAAATGACTGACCCATAAGGTACAGATCGAATCAGCTAAATGGTGCACGAGGCGAATATCCAACCCGTGCCCAGCCTTATTTCAAAGCGAGGAGAGGAGAGAGAGAAGTCAACGAGATTATAGTTTGTTTACAAGATTCATTTGTAGAGGTAATGATCTTATATTTTTTAGAAAAGAGTTTCACTAATGTGAAATATATAATAAAAAAATGTGCTACTTATTTCAAATTTTTATTGATTTTGAATTCTTTTAATTTGTTCCTTTTTTCTTGCATTGTCTTCACATGTTTGTTTCTTGGTGTGAGACTTTTTTGAGAAAAATTTTTATTAAATTTTAGATGAATATGTAAAAATACAAAATTAAATTAGTATAAATCACTTCTAAAAAATTACATGATAAGCAGGGCGGGACGAGTATTCGCTGACCCGATTCTATCTCACCGAGTACCCAATATGCGGGACGGATAAGAGTAAAAAAATGACTAACCCATAAGGTACAGATCGAATCAGTTAAATGGTGTACGAGATGAATACCCGACCAATGCCCATCCCTATTTCAAAGCGAGGAGAGGAGAGAGAGAAGTCAATGAGTTGACTCAGTTGATGACAAAGCCACTTTCTCATAAAAGTGGTATATTGATGGATAATATTGATGGATAATATGTAAGAATTGAATAAATGACCTATGATTTTAGAGACATGTTATCATTCCTAAGGTATGCTCTCACTAGTGATGGTGATAGAAGGGGAACGATTCGAAATTTTTTTTATAAAGAAGGTATGACACAAAAGTGGTACACGTGATTGTCTTAGTGGCGTCCGAACAAGAGCCTAATTTGGTTGATGTGGATATACTTTAACTCAATTTATAATGACGAAAATATTAAAATGAGAAAAGTTGAAACCATTCCAAATCCAAAGTATACGCTAGTTGGGCCTTTGGCCCAATGTGGAAATATCCGATGCCGCCCCTCCCGTTGAAAGTCCCCGTTGGAGAGCTGATTTAGAATACTCCAGAAAGCAGAGAAGGAAATAAAAACCAGAGGGGAAATGATCAAAAAGTGTAGATTAGGGGAAGAATTCGAAAAAAAAGACCGTTTTTCCTCTGGCAAAATTGAAGAATGAAAAATTCAAAATAATGACCGTTGTTTTTTTCCTCTGGAGAAATGTCCAATTCTTGAAGTCTGGCAGTCTTGTTCTCTCTATATATATACTGTATATATTTCAATTATTCAATCACGATTCACAGACAAAGAACACGCACTTTCACACACAGTAGGTCTTCCATTTTATTTTGTTTTCCGAAAATTTTAATTCAATTTGGGCCCATTTTGAATGCTTTTTTAAAAAAAAAAATCATGATTTTTTCTGGTCTTCTTCATTTTCTGAATTCTTATTCTTTGATTTAATTAATTCAAAACTGTGTGTTAGTGTGTGTTTGGTGTCTGAGAGAAAGGGAGGAAAGAGCAGAGAAAATAAATTTGAGGGGTTTTGATGAAGATTCTGGCCTTCTGCTATACATGGAAACCAGGTAAAATCCACTGTTTTTGCTGATCTTTGTTTCTTTTCTTTAGTCAGTCATAGGATTTCAGTTGTAAGAGTTTTGAATTTTACTACGAATTTTTTTGATTTCTGACAATTTTCTAGGATCATGATATTCTTTCCGTTTCTGCATTTATAGGCTTCTGAAAAAGATTGTGGCTTTTTCTCTAACCAAAAAATTCAGGTAAAGTTCCTTTTTACTGCATTTATAGTTGTCAAATTTTTGTTAAAATCTTTGGAACTTCAAAAAAGTTGATGATTTTCTAGACCATGTAATGCTGTTGTATATATATGTTCTGTGTTTATTCTTTTAGCTTTTCGACAAGGATAATTTCAGAAACCTCCCTTGCGGTATTTAATAATTTCATTTAGCTTTTTCAAGATTTTAAAAATTACACGTATCTCCCTTATCATTTAAAATGACAATACTATTTTTAAATATTTTAATGAAATTCCTTTGTTTGGTATGTTTATGCTTAGAATGACTTTTAAAATTATTTTTTTTCCTTCTTATTTTTTTTTTTAATTTTTTGCCAATAAAACTGTAGAACTATCACTGTTACCTCTAGTGTCTATTGTAACAATTTTCGAACTAGTGATTTTTTTGATGAATTAACTTTATATGCAATCCAATGTTTTTGCTGATCTTTGTTTTCTATTTTTTGGTGTGAAAATTAATAATAAATCAAAAGGAAATGGCCCAAAAACCACTACTAAATTATAATAATCCCACTACTCGAAAAATTCATAAATTCTAAATGAATTATTTTAATATTTTCTTTGCTATTTTATAAATTTAAATCCATAATAAGATACCATCAAATGTATTCTATCATAGTGATAAAATTATTATTATAGTTGTTTATTAAATAGTAGGTATGGGCATGAAAAATTTGGCATCTTTTTCTTATAACTATACTAGATAATCTTATAATTGTATGGGAAAATAAATTAAGACTCATTGCACAAGGGCATTTTTGAGTATTCATTTAAAAATTTGACCAAGTCCTTATTATTTTAAGGTTTTGTTACTAAATTTATCAAATCAAGGGAGGTAGGCGTAATTTTTCAAATCTTAGGGGAGCTTAATGAAATTGTTAAAAACTTTAGGGGAGGTTTCTGAAATTATTCCTTTCGATAAAATTTGTGTTATCTGTGCATGTTTCTTTCTTTCTTTGTTTTTTTTTCGGGGAATATCTGTGTTATTTTTGTGACATGATTATTTAGGCATTCAGAGCATTTCTTGGAAACGTGGTGGAAAAAGTAAAAAAAGAAAATCTTCTTGGAAGCCTGTAGAACTCTTTACTGGTGAATTCTGTGTTTTTTTTCTTTTTGCTGGTTTACTTAGTTGATATCCTTAAGTATTGGTCTTCATCTTTGTTGTGATCATACTCATGTGTTGATTGGTAAGTGGAAGGTGGTTTTAATGAATGTCCTGGATGTTAGGAATAAATGAACGGTATCAAAGTTTGACTTGATTCATTGTTTCACACAAGGCTGTGAAGCAAGATCTTTGTTGTTGGTAAACAGAAATATTGGATTGAGTGGAAGTGTGAAGTCATTTCTTACACAACTTTATAGAAATATTTATTCTCTTAACAAAATAAAAGGAAACAAAAATATATATCTGCCCTTCTGCAGGACTTATGAAGCATGTTATTAGGGCCTTTCTGTAAAAGAACCCTCAGATCTTCTACTGGTTATTGACTATGTTGAAGCTTTAGAAGGCCATATGTGACTTGATATAAGTTTGCAGATGGACAGTGGAAAGATTAGGCTCCGAGGTTGTTGTTTGATGGGATTAGGATCTATTAGTTATTTTTCTAAGTTGCTTCAGCAGATTTTTAAAATTCTTTAAGTTGGGATTAGTTTACAGCTTACCTCATTGTCGTATATCTACTGTTTTGAAAAGCATGGGGCACGGATGTCCAGAAATGATTTAGTCTTGTTCTTATCCCTTTGGGTATCAGCTCTATTCACTTAAATCATGGTTGTTATTGGTTTATTTGTTCACTTGTTTTTTAATGAATGTGTTAGGCAACTGAAATTGCATAATGAGGCACTTGATTTTAGAACACTAAGACTAATTTTAGAATTCTTGACTCTATGATAAGGATTATTTTACTAGATATAGTTTCTCACGCCTATTGCTAGAGGAGGAAATGGTAGGCTGAGAGATTAGTACATTTATGAGCCAACCAAATTTAAATTACTTTGATATTCCCTTGACCAAATAGGGGAAAATCAATTTTTTGCTTTTCTTTTTTCTGGAGATAGCGTGATCATATCCAATATGTTTGTTGGACCAAATGTGTAATACTAGCTTCTATAGGGATGTTTTATATGCTGAATCCCTGTGGTGTTGGGGCAATTATCCATGTTAATACCTTTTTGGTTTGGAAATTTTATTAGTTTCGAGGCCAAGTTTGGTCCTTGTGGTGTTTCAGGTTCAAATCAGTGTAGGATTCACCCAACTATTCTTTCTTTATATATTAGATCTAGCAAATTAATCAGTTTTGTTTTTGGTTGGAATTTGGAATTAAATTTTGAGAGATATTCTTTAATCTTTAAGATCAGTCTTCTTCGTAGAATGCTTACAAGTACTTGGAGCAAATACTCTAGTCAAGTTTGTTGGATCTTTGTCTGTATTTTGACATGAATCATTTCAGCTTGAATTTCATTGTTACAGTACAGGGTCCTTAAGAATTATGATATCGACCCGCAGATTATTGGTTCAATTGTTGCAGACTGTGTTATAATAGAGTGAACTGTCTGTTTGTGCTCAAGCTTGAGTAGTTTGATCTTGAGTTTTTGTAGAGTGTTATAGGAGAATGTCTCTGGACTATTGTTTGTTCCGCATCTTTTCAACATTTAGAACCATCTACCTACCCAAAAAAAACTTTTAGAACCATCTTATTTAAATAGAGAATCTTGAAGAATATTTTATGGGCATATAACCTTATATATATAGTTTTGTGAGCTAGGACTCTAGGAAAGTTTTGTTGGATCTCTGTTTCTACTTAAGCATGAGATATTTCAGCTTGAAGTTTGAGGTTACGGTGCAGAAACTTTAAGCATTGTGATTTCAAGCCACGTATTATGGGGTTCAATTGTCATAGTGTTATAGGAGAATCAAATCATTGTTTATGCTTAAGCATGAATTATTTGAGCTTGAAATTTGAGGTTACAGTGCAGAATCATTAAAGTATTATGATGCACAGCAAAAGATTGTTGGGGTCAATTATTTTCGTGTTATTGTGGAATGCTGCTTTGAATAATGTGGTCAAGCTTTGTTCTGGATCTTTTCAATAGAGAATATGATCTTATTGATCACTTTGCTAGAATTGACTTGCTTTGTAGAAAGGTATTATGTAGAAGAATCTTGAAGGAATATGTTATGGTTCTTTAGTTGTATACATTTGCTTTTCTTGGAGGCTGAATCTCATGTGATCCATGCTGTTCTCAGAAAAATATGTTGTGATTATAGTCAAAAAATTATCTTATTAAGCAGGAAAATCTTGCTTAAGTGTGAGATAGGTATTAAGCAGGAAAGTCTTGAAGAAAATATGGTTCTATGACCTTAAAGGATATTTTTCTTTTTTCAGAGGTTGAACATATTGTGAGCCAAAGCTGTTCTAGAGGACTAGGTGATTTTTTAGTATTCCAAATACTGTATGAGACAAATATAGGTCCCACTATCCTATAAATTAGCGCACAACATTATACATAACATAATCTTTAAATTCCCTTTAGGATAACATATTACAAAGGCTTAAGTATGCCTGATTTGACGATCTCTTTTGTTTTGATCTGTTAAGTTTTGTATGTCGGATAATATCTTTTGCATTGATTTGTTGCATTTAAGTATGCCTTGGTTCCTAAGTTCATCAAGTATCAAAATAGCTAGTAAAAGAATATGCAGTTACTTGGTTTAACCAAAATTATGGTTACACCGGAATTGGAAGGGTGTCCACAGGCCTTCCCTGGTCAATTTGAAACACAGATGGCATCCGCCAAAGTTCCATTTGCAATTAAGTTGAGTTTGTACTCTTAATTAAACTTAACATGATCTAATTATGCTAATTAAGTTAATATGTTGGATTACTTTTTTCTTAGGTTATATAGTTTTATGACTAATCTGTACAGGATCTCTTCATTGCTGATTTATACCACTTTTGTAGTTGAGCTTAGTTTTGGGGCTAGTTGGTACCTAGTACTAACAATACCTTTACATTTGATTTTTTAACTTGTAAAAGGTTCGGTGAATCGTGACCTTGGCTTTAGTGGGTTCCTTTACAGTAGTCAAATTGGTAGTAGTCTTTGCCTAGGTGGGTCTTTATATGCTTTAATCAATGAAAGGGAAAATTAGGAAGGCTCTTAAACTAGAAACCAGAAAGTTGAGACCGAAAGGTTTTGCCATGTTTGTGACAAATTTGTAAAAGATTTAGGAAATACACTTTACTATCAAAAATACTCTTTATTTCCCAGGCGCGCATTTCGTCTTATGGATCTTGGCGTGGAGAGAGAGAGCTTTAGTACTAAGGACATTGTTACTTATCATGATTGATACGAACATTTCTGGTACAACGCTTACTTTTCGTCTTCAAACTCTGTGAGTAGATTTCAAGTTAGAGCTCTGTTTTTGGGCCAGTTTTAGAATTAAGTTTCGCATACATGGTGAAATTTTTTAAGGTGAAATTTTTTAAGGGTACAAGTATATGTTGGGGACTAACGATAAGTCTAAGAAACAGGAAATGAAAAACTACCAGTAACAAATCTTACTAGTAAACAAGTTCAAATCATTGATGTGATAAACTAGAACAATGTTAATAACAATAACTTACTAACTTACAAATCACATAGGCTTGATCTTTGATCAATGTCCTAAAACAGAATTTTGCTCCTTCCCTTTGTGCAGAAGTGCGTGAGCAATCTGTTCCCAGGATTCAACTGTGAATTCTTCCTCAAATTTGTACAAGAATTTAGGAAGTCTATGAACTTTGTGTGTTTCACTTTTCTCTCAAGATGGTTCTATGGAACTTCTGCAGAAATTTTTATGCAACAAAGGAATAATAGTAACCAACTTTCTGTCCTACTAACATGTATTTATAGACCAAAACAACAAGAGGCAGTTTGAAACCGTTGGTAGACAGTTTTTTGGACCAAAAGTCATGACTTCCCAAC